AGTCTGAAGTCACCATCAGACGAAAGAAATGGTGTTGAGTTGGGAAAGTCTAAGAGATCCAATAAATGACATCACAAGCCAGCCTAATCACTGGTGTGGAAACTACATTGGCTAGGAAAGAGGAGGAAAGCCAAGAAGTTTTGGAAAAGGACACTGTCAATAGACAATCAACAGATTTGCTATGATGTGAAACCAGATAAAGCATACGGCAAAGAACAGAGTCAGGTGTTGGTGTTGGGTGCTAATCGTCCTTCATGGCAGCATGGGTGCTGAATTGCGAAAGACGCAGCTCGACGCGCTCTCAAGTCGAAGTGCTATATTACAAACACATTTTACATACACTTACACATAGGCGTGCTGCCGGCTAGGCGCTTCCTTTACATAGCAACGAACGACTGAACGCGGAGCACAGCAGATAGAAATGGTTCGTTTTTACTGAGGGAGGAAAACCCGGAAAGCTGGAGAAGCCTCCTAGAGTCCCTATGCGTACACCCGATAAAGGTTTTCTCCAATTAACCCTCAGAACGTATATTGATTATAATAATTATTAGTGTTTCTCACCTTTATAAACGAGGTTGGTCCCAGAAGGGCATACATCTCGTCCCCAACGTACATACGACACTCCACCGCCACTTGGTCCTTTCGGTCCTTGCTTACCATCATTTCCAGGAATTCCTTTTGGTCCAGGTGGACCTGCAATAAACAAAAAAAAAAAAAAGAAATGGATAGAACAAGTGAGGGTATAGTAGAATGGATTAGGATAGGATGAATAAGCACCTCGTGGTCCTGGTTGACCGTCATATCCATTTTTGCCATCACGACCTGAAATTAAAATAGTATCCCTGTGAATTTATTCTCGAATTTTATATCCGCCAACTTTCAAACAAAAAATATTCCGACTTCCATAATTTTATTCCCTTCCCATTCCCTTCTTCCTTCCCCCTACTCCCTCCTCCCTTTCGCCGAGGCTTTTCACAAGACCATTTGTTTCACTTACCAGTTCTTCCTGGAATTCCATCGCGTCCGTCTCTTCCTGGATAAACAAGCAATGCAGTCAACATACCAAAATTTACCTAACCTTCTTTAGAAAGACTTCGATAGACGTGGAGAGCAAGCCCAGTGAGGTGTACTATTGCAGGGTTGGATCCAGGAGGGGGGAAATGGATCCAGGGGGGGAATTTACAGCTCCAAACATATTTCAAAAACACTAACAATATTTTCCAGCGTGAACTTCTCACGTGTGTGTCGAAAAATGCAAAAAAAAAATAATAATAATGTACGGTTTTAATTGGAATGTTTTTCATTATCATCTTTGAAGGAATCGAAAAAATCGGAAAATGATTATAACAATACACTGATACTAGTAAGAAATCTATTGCACCGAAGTGAGAAAAAGAGGGTGTGATATTCCCCCTTTTTTGAATTCCTCCCCATGTTATGCATATATCTGGCCTAGTTTCAAATTTTAAGTTCAAGCATATAGGCTATTACGTTGTTCAGTGCTCCTTTTGTCACTTCGCTTTAGCCTTAGGAACCCCCTAACTTAGTACTCTTATACTTCTATTTGATATACTTCTATTTGCTCTTGCRCTTGCGTTTATGCTAATGCCSTGTGTKTTTTCTTTCGTTTTGTGATTAGTCTTTTTGTTTGCGCTTATTCCACTGTCTTAGCCTCGTGCTCGCTCAACTTCAGCCGCCTTTGCCTTTCAGCGTTATCGTCAAAGTGAAACTCATACATTACCCCTCAAAGCGGCGACATGACCTGCCTCCACTTGATGCAATCTAAAGCAAAAAAAAAAAAAAAAAGAAAGAAAGAAAGAGAGAAAGAAAGGGAGAAAGAAAGAAAGAAAAATGAATTTGAAAAACATGGGTCATTGGTTACAAAAACAAGGTGGCTAGTTAACCTCTAGGTTAGAGCGATGCTCCTCCATGCTTAACATCCAGCACAATCAAACCGAAGATGAACAAAGTTTAGTTCTCCCCGAGCTGTTTTACAAATTGCAGTAAAATTCTCACTTTCATACATAATCACAAATAATACAACTCACCTAGTCTCCAGACCAACCAATTGAGCTCGAGTCTTCTTCAGAAGAGCAGATAAAGCAGCTATCTGAGACGCTGAAGAATCTAGTGCTTTACTTGTATCTGCACTGTCAAATTCATCTTCGACTGTCCTTGCGTATGGCACAAGAATACATAAAACAAAAGGAATGACGAACTTCCACAAGACAGCCATTTTTCTTGAAATGAGTCTATCAACAGTTGTAATGAGTGAAGCTGAAAACTGGAAAATTATCCTGAATGCGTTATATAAATATCACTTATGATCAGGGAAGTGATTGGCTAAGATGGCTGGACCACTTCGAAAACAAACACCATTTAATTTCCATTATTTTGAGAACATATTATTTCGTTTTCGTGACAAATAGCATGCTTTTGTGAATGCAAATTCAAATACTAAAAGCTTTCATTTTCTTAAGTCTCAGAGCCAGTATTGATGTGTCTTCAGGAAGTATGCTTTCAAGAATTACTGTC